GCGAAGCTCCGTCTGTAAAGAATCCTATCGTATAGCAAACTTTTCAATCTCTTGAGCTTTTCGCCTTCAATTCCAGTAAATATGAAGATTGACCAGGTTTACAGAGAATTGCTACTTCTTTCCAGCCATCAGAATTCTTATAGACCGTTTGATAGCCTTGCTTTTGGGGAATCCAGGTAGATGACGAATTACCAGTTTTTTTAAATTTTTGGCTCTAATTTTATGGAAGGTGAAATTCGAGTGTTCAAGTGTTCAGTACACTATTGCAGCATCGCAAATCATATACTTAAGTCAAAAACTTGTTTTCAGTCTGTAGCAGGCGCATATGATACCACATTATAGGAGACCATGAAGTTGTAGCCATTTTGATACCCTTCTAAAGTCTTTCAACCGAAAACGGTGATTCAAATCACCATATTCTGAAACCTCAGTCGGCACATAACGCTTTGCAATATTCGTTCTAATTCGTCGTGAAATGAGGTAAAAGTTCGGAGGTAGGCGTCTGGAGGGTGCGCAGCCCTTCGCACCCACCTTGCCATTGGGGCGCATAGGCTCTTTATTGCCTCCTTGACGCCGCCCATTCGACTCGATACGTGAGCTGGGCAACTCGTCCAGTCGATTCAACCTCCTGACAACGCTACTCAGCCTACCCACTGCCAATCCAGTTGATAGACGCCCGATCGATAACGCCGCTGTAGTTAGACGCCGAACTGACCTACCTGTATCCTGTCTATTTCTACCGCAAACTTGGCTATTTTTTCGCCCTTTTTTGCTTCTCGAGGTTTTTGAACCCATATTCAAGTGAATACTGCTAAGTTACAATGGAGTGGAAGTATCATGGTCGTTTTGGGGCCTGATACTTACCACTTCAAAGTAATTTTCAGTCCATATGTATGACGGACTGATTGTGTGGTAAGTGTTTTATTATTTCTTATTGGTATTATTGGCAAAGCATTTGTTTATCGTAATATTTATTCCCATCATTTACTTTATTATCGTGCACATTATTAAATAGTGTTTCCGGATACATATATCGACATGTATTTACAATACCCCTCCTTCTTTGACAAAGTTTTAGTAATCGGCTATTTCCTCACTCCTTCTTTGAAACAAATAATATTTTTCCGTACACGAAGTTTGACACAAGACTAACAAAACAGAGCAAATGGTATTCAGTGTAAGTCGGTACAGTTGGGGATTCAAAAGTACTAGCGGTTGGTTAACTTTTGTCGCGAATGATATCGACCAAAGAGGATCCTACATTCAGTCACAGACCTTGTTGGTTAGCGGTCGTAACGTAATGGCAAGAAATGAACAACATTCGCATCTGCTTATCTTAGTGCCTCTAATGGGGCTCTTGGGAAACGAACCCGGGCCGCCCGCGTGGCAGGCGAGCATTCTACCACTGAACCACCGATGCACCAAAATGTGTAGGGCGGTTCAGTGGGTTTGTTGTTGAGGCGGGAGACGAGTGTAGAAACAACCCTTTATTGTCGGTGTTACCAGCAAGATGAGCCAGAGCATAGGCCCATGCTCTTAGGAAGGCAAGGGGCGGGGCGCGGGGAGCGTCGGGGTCGTCGGGACCATGGACGATGACAGCTCTATCGTTGCATTTACCACTCACACAGCAAAGAAATAAGTAACAATTACAACTCATAGTAAACTTAATGCTAGCAATGCTATACTATAATCGGGACGCTCAGAACAAATTTAACATAGCAAATGTTGTGAAGAAAGAAGAAATGGAAATCATGTCTGAAGTTTCGAAACACTTACCACGCTAATCTGCACTTCAATGAAGTTAACGATAGAAATAAATATTATGATAAACAAATGTCTTTCAAAGAAAAAAACAGTAAAACACCCACCATATTATCAGTCCGTCATGCATATGGACTGCAAATTACTTTGAAGTGGTAAGTATCAGGCTCCAAAACGACCATGATACTTCCTCTCCATTGTAATTTAGCAGTATTCACTTGAAAATGGGTTCAAAAACCTCGAGTGGATAGGCTGAGTAGCACTGTCAGGAGGTTGAATCAACTGGACGAGTTGCCAAGCTCATGAACCGAGTCGAATGGGCGGCGCCAAGGAGGCAATTAAGAGCGGGTATGTTGCGATTCGTGCGATTTTGGGTGCGCGCGACAAATTGCGCGGCGAAGTTCGGTGCGATTTGGACGACTGCATCGTTTATCATTTGGGCCCGAATTTGAAGTAAAGTAGGTTAGTAGGATTGTCCGACCCTACTAAAGAACTCTACTCCAAGTTTTTGCCCCAATGATAGAGGCCAGAGTTGTTTGAATCATCGCGAATTTCGCCGCGCAAGCCGCGCGCACCCAGAATCGCACGAATCGCTCGTCCCCCAATTAAGAGCCTATGCGCCCCAACGGCAAGGTGGGTGCGAAGGGCCGCGCCAAACGACCGCCTCCCGTGTCTGGATCACCTTTCAATTAACATCTAGCTGGTCGACCCCTCGATACCGATCTCTAGTAATGGCTCCTGATCTCGCTACTGCCATGCCCATTCAAGAGCGCGCCTTATGTCAGATAGCATTTATTATGCAGAAATCCTTTTCGAACCCTATTTCGGATGCGCTATTCCGACAATTGTCTAGTCCAAAGCCTTTCTACTATAGCTCTCCACTTCAGATAGTGGTTTCAGTTCCACAATGTGAAAGCTTTAATTATTTGCATCTCTGAAGGATGGGAAGAACCGATCATTTTGATACGGTCTTGAGAGAATTTGGATAAATTTTAGCCAAAAGATGAAATTTTGTTGTGCTTCTTTTAAGTTCTTCGGTTTTTCAAGGAAACATAGTCGCCACTTATTTGAATAACCCTTGATATTCTGTTGAAAATTAAATTGAACCCTCATCCCCTGAGGGTGAAGTGTTCGTATAATATCGAATTACAATTCACATTATAAATAATAAATATGTATATACACATTCATATGTATATGTTCGCCTTTTGATAATAGTAGAGCTTATAACTCAACACCTCGTTATCAATCTCCCTTGGACTTACTGGATCTTCGAGGCCATGTTTCCTCAAGCCACATGAGTGCATTCACTCAGAGATCTGTTGTAAAGCATTTATATTTAACATTTACAAGGAAAACTATGCTATAAGTATTATAAATATGCTAAAAAGATGGTGGGAAGTGGACCGAGGAGAAAGCGAAAAAAAGAAAATGCCGGTAAAAAGGAACTTACTAGGCAAGATGTAAGTTCCATAGTCGAATACACACAGTAGAAAGCAAGTCTCACAAAGTTGGCGATTCATGGACAAAATTTCAGTCTCGGACAGGACCCGAACCCGTACTCGTGCTTTCTGGGCACTGTGCTCTTTCCCTTACACTACCGAGACCCCGCTTACCCCCGCCTTCTTGATGGTTTATATGCCACAGCTTTAGTCTAGTCCAACAACGATGCAGGATTTGGAGGTTCGGATTGAACAAGAAGTTTGTGCGATAACACAGACGATGCTAAGACGTCTCAGTGATAACTTCAGTATGAGACTAGACATTGTGTACAGAAAGGAGGCCACCACCTCCTGGAGCCACGTTCAAAAAATAAATATTTGAGATGTTGGCTTGTGCAAATTTGAACGGTTAATGATTGAACTAAAATCTCGTTTATATTTTTAAAATTTGTGACAATACAAAGGATAGAGTCTTAGACGTAAATCAATCCCGTCTGATGACCAAGCATTCGGCCTCCATACACAATCGTAGTGGCGTATTGAATGCGTATTTGGCCAATATATTGACTTGCGGTGGTGGCCAGTCGATGTACAAGTCAGCGCTTTCAACGTCCTAGGCGAATCTGCTACTGATTGACGATTGACAGACAGATTGAGAATAGAAAGGCTTACTAGGCCTCAAGCAGGTATTGGTCCGGGAATCGAAGCCGTGCAACGTCAACGATCTTTTTCGAATGGTCGACACATCAATATCGAACTACTTTGTAATTGATCGGATATTCATCTATTTCTCTATTCGAGGTGATCTTCTACTAGCTGATCGTCTTTACAACCTTTGGTAGTTTTCTAACTACATGGCTGATTGTTTCCTCATGGTTTCTTCGACATCCTCGTCAAGATCTGATCTATAGAGGAGGAGCTCGGTGAACGTCTGAGTAGTTTTCACCCCTGGAACTTTTATGACATAAACCAACCAGTTTCCAGAGTTTGGTTGGAGAATACAGCGCTAAAATCTTTATGGCTAACGTAGTCGCCCTTCAACTGAACTTATAGAACGACACGTTGAGCTTTTCAATCCCATGTATTAAAGCTCTTGTAATATAGCTCTTGTAATATAGTCCATAAGGATGAGCATTAGTTGAGACTCTCACCGTGCAAAACAACATAATCGCAAGTAAGTCGAACACAAGCAGCAACATATTTAGCAAATGAAGCCTTACGAGGTTCACCTTTGAGCCACTTGACGCTCTCTTAGAGGGAGAAAATGTCGTTAGCATTGCTGTATAATGATCCCTTCCGCAATCAGATACTTTACCAAGGCGATTTTCACGCAGAGCATCTGATAACTCGATCACACCGTTGAGATGAGCTCGACTGCCGATTCAAGCGTTTGTGGGAGAAAAAGTGAAAGGAAATAGAATATAACAGGAAACGGAAATTAGCTCATCTGCATTTGTTCCAAACGATCGAAGTCAGCTCTAGGCAAACAACCATACCATAGGCAACAACCTTGTTCAGAGAGGAAGAGCAAAGTAACCATAAAGTAAAGTGCTTCAGAGTAACGAATGCTTCTTAAGGCAGTTTGTTAACAAGCACATTCCCAGTTGTCTTTCGTGAATGTTATAGGAGTACGGTACGATGCGCCTACACGATAATACTTCTTAATGACACCAGCGGTTAGGCCTTGACCCGATGAAGGGAAGCGCGGTCAACCAGAGATGGGTCATGTCAAGAGAGGCGGTCGACCACGTAAACCTTCATCTCCCACTGACTGCTCATTGCCACGTTTTTTCAGAGATGCGGTGGTTGACATTCTTCCTTCTTCCATGTGCCAGTTTAACATACTGTCCCGAGCTTTTTAAAAACCAGGTAGGAACAGCAGTCCACCCATCTCTCTCTAAATACTTATGATTATTACCTTGAATGTGGCTGCGATTGGAGATTCCATTATTTATAGACAGCATGCTCATGTTTCGACAACCTGGACGGATCCGTGGTTCGCTGCTCTGGGCAAGAGGGTCCCATGGTGGTGGAACAAATGAAAAAATTATATTTTGAAATTCGGGAGCTCACGCTAGAGAACGCAAATATCGTTGAGGTTGGAAAAGTTCTGTGTTCAATGCATTACAGAAAACTCTATTCGACTGCTCTATTTAGATCGGACCAAGAGCTTTCAAAAATCTCCGCATAAAAAGACTGATTTTGGACAGGAATCGTATTAAAGCCATACATAAGGACGCACTGCGTGGACTGGAAAATATTCTCCAAGAACTATCACTTGCACAAAACAAACTCACTGAGGTAAGCCCAAGCTGTCATCAAACATAGATGAGTGAAGTTCCTTGACTTGGACTCTGGAAAGCCTGAGGGATGATCCAGCGAGCTATTAGTTTATGGTGCAAATTATTGAAGAAGCATTTTCCTATTGTGGTCGTGCTGTATGGATGAGACATGTCTTTGAAACGAGGTAACTGCAGAAAACACTGGCACCATTGAACATTTTTCTGTAGCGTGTGGATAACAAGATTCCGAGTGAATCTCGATATCTCAGGTACCAAGTGACGCTCTATCAGGAATGCGGGCTCTCAGCGTTCTCAGTCTCAAATGCAACAAAATAAGCAATCTCACAAGGCCTGTCTTCCGGAACTTGAACTCACTGATCGACATCAATCTGTCATGCAATGAAGTCAGCGAATAGCAAAAAGATCAATATATGTGTGGTTGTCGACTGCGCTTGTCTAATTAAGGTTTGCGAATTATCGTCTGATGTGTTCGACGGGGTGCGAAACAACTTACAAAATCTTATTCTTGATGTGAATTGCCTGAGAGCGTTCCCAGCTGGTGCCGTCAAAAATATGGATGCTCTCATTGCTCTTCACTTGAAAGGCAATAAGGTAATAATGAGTCACAGTTATTGACAGTGAATCATGGTAAGGAAGTGTAATATTAGGTTGTTCGAGAATTATTTGTAATAGCCCTTATTTTTTTACAGTTTTTTTGCACTGTGATATCACGAAATTTTTGGGTACCTTATGTACATATAAGTGAGCTATATCCTTCTATAGCTTCTTCCTGGGAATTGCCGGCATTCAATGTTAGCGAGTTATAGACAAAACTTCGACTTCGAAAGTTTCGAACCCGCACTTGTGTTATACGGGCACCGTGCTCTTACCTCTCACACTACCTAGACCCCGCTTCCCCCGCCTTTTGAATGGCTTATGTGCCGTAGATTATCAGCGCTCACATGTACAACGTGTTGTGCCAGCTAGCCATTATCAACATTGAATATTTAAGCCGTAAGCTGATCGCTTATAAGCTATCCCGCTTTATGTAACGCGCTAATCTGTGTATGTGTGTGTATGTGCATATGTGTGTGTATGTGTGTGTCCGACTGGAAATTCATAGCTCCTGTCTCCGTTGAGTAGGACGTTCAAATTTGGTAGGAGTATAGAGGACAGGATGGGAGCGGGAGACGGGCGTTAGGAACGATTTTGGGTAATCGATTCGTCGCACGCGGCTGTCGCGGACCACTCATTCGCTGTTATTACAGCTCTAGCGTTCTTCATACAGCTCAATCGATATGCGATCATTATTTTATGCATCATTCTACTATTAGTACTTTTGTTCTTGTGATTCTTACCTACTGCTGCATCCTGCTACATTCCTTCGCGCGCGACGCCCCTCTCACCGCGACGCGACCATTTCGTTCCTAACGCACCACACCCGATGGGAGCACTTATGGCGGGCGGCAGAACCAGACTCCGCCCACAGAAGGCGGAGTTTGAACGAAATAAATGTTTTAGCGAAAGTCCATGATTCTTGAACCTGTGGACTTGAAGAGCGATAATCGGAGGAGTAGGGGAGGCAGATGGGAACATTGACGATAGAAGGGGCCTCAGAAAACAACATCCACTCAACAATTAAGTCCTAGCGCCATTGCTATTTACGATCTAGCTTCGAGTTTTTGATATGTTTCATTCGACAATAAGGGAAAGTACAGTGCTGGGGACCGACTATAAGGAGATGAAATTTGGTCCACTTCCTGCCATGAGATTACGAGTGCTACCCAGCATAGTTTGCTAATCAGTAAGGATCACTGCCTCTCTCTGCTTCTATATCATTCTTGGCAAAACTTCTCCGACCGCTAATAATCTCGGATTCTCATGCAATAACGTATCCGTAGAGAAAAAGAGCTACATTTATAGAGGCATTTGGTAATGGTACTACTGCGACTCGACAACATTTGTGAGTACCACTCAAGTCTTTGGACGCTTACCAGTTAAACCTTCAATGGGTCACGATCTGTAAGATGAACAGCAACAGATCAGGACTTCTAATCATAGGCATAAGCATCGGCTCACCTTGAATACCCCTTGCATGCTCGAGTGATCCTCTGTTGGTCCGAAAAGTACCATCTGTTCCAAATAAGGAGTGGGTCTGCCGATTATTACGATTATTTCATCAAAGGAGGGAAGCCTGGCGTCAGCCGGGCGACCCGACTGGTGGATATAAGCCATTGAGAAGGCGGGGGCAAGCACTGTGAGGGATAAAGAACACGGAGCACAGCAGCCGTAGAGCACGAGTACGTGCCCGAGTCGCACCCGAGGCCGAGTTTTGTCCATAACTGGCCAACCATGTTAGACTTTAGCATAACGTAATGCTGCGAAATAACAGCATTTAACAAAGCATTATGTCAAAACATTCGGCACATACCAGAGCAAATGCAAACTTATGTGAAATTTTCGGCAGAAATTCCCTGAACATCCGGATACATACATAATGGATTCTCAAATAAGTTAGAAGGAGCACGATTGGAGAGTAGAAGGGTAATCATGTACACTTCACAATAATGAGCATCTTACCATTAGCTGTCGGATATAGATCAAAGGACTCGAGGTAGCGTTGGCTCGTTCGAGCACGTGGTCTTAGTTAGCTGCCTCACGGTGTCGAATAGCCACGGAGGCGTTCACTAACAGTCTCCATATCGTGCTCTCAATGGCCACCACTTTCTCTTTAGAAAGACTCAGCGCGAAAAGGGTGATATGACGCCAGACTTTTTGGCTCATAGTTCACATTATCTGCTAACTTTCTTTTCACGACATTCGGTATCATAAGAAGATCCTCTCGAAAAGGTCGGGTAAGACCTGTGATGGGTGAAATGCAGAAAATATAGAGTTGTGAGTAGAACCCTTTATGATGTAATGGATGCGCCTAAGGAGGATGATGTTCATGTATGAACTTGCAGTTAAATTCAGGGCAATGTAAAGACGAAAGGGGTCAAGTTCATTCAGCAGGTATGGCAAAGGAAACTAAGTGGTAACAAACAGGAGTTTATGATCGAAATGATTGTCAGGTTATTGCAAGCGTAACGGGTGAAAGGNGGGTTCCTTTTAGAGGTATCTAATTCGAAATGTCGCATGTCACTTGATTACCAGATCAGGAAATCAAAAAAGGTCTAGTCGGATCGAAAGCAGCGGGCGGAAGCTTCAGAAGTTGAGAAGAGTACGTATGAGATGCTGAGGTCAAAGTTTCGAGATACATTTTCTGACCAACTTTGTGATCCTCTGAACAATTTCGTGATCAGGATGAAAGAGCGGTGAATAGTGATCCCGTCAAAAATGGTAATGCACCAGCTTCGGTGGGTAAGGCCGAAACAGAGGTGTGCGGGAGATCATCTAAAGCTCGATCATCGAGTAGCAAAGCTCGGCTAGTATCGGAAAGAGGTCAGAGTGCAAGGAGTGTAATTGCCAATCATTGAATAGCAACTGTAGCTATCCTGTCCTATATGATAAGGCATCGTTATATCACACACAACCTTTAGCCTTTTGTTTGAAATACTAAGCAATGATCAAAACAATCACTGTTCTTGCAGATAAGCATAATTGGCAATGAAGATCTAAGTAACCTCACCTCACTGGCAATGCTATCCCTCAGTAATAACAACATTTCCTTCATTCACCCATCAGCACTGCAGAACACTCCCAATCTCAGATATCTATACTTGGCAGGAAATAACATTCATTCATTACCTACTGGTGCAATGACCCAGTTTAAACAGGCACAGGTAGGCCCTTTATAAGAAGCTACGACTCATCAAGGTTTTCTCAAACTCCAAGGAAATGTTTCCAGGTACTGGACCTTGCATTCAATCACTTGGCCGAAATAAATGAAGAGACTTTTGCCGGATTAGAAAGCCTGCAACATCTCAACCTTGAAAGCAACAACATTCATGTAAGCAAAGTGCCTCATTTCTTCTCCGTTCCGGCGTAGTTCTTCGAATTCCATGTACCTCCTAGAATATAGGTTCGTGAATCTTAGTTGAAAAGTTCGCTGGATGAGAGGTTCTCTCCGACTATTAAAGGGAGAGAACGATGAAGTCCCTGTGTCTTACCAATCCCGTTTACAAGATGCGCTCACGCATTCAGCTTCATTCAAAATCGCACTGGAGTTTTGGAGCCTAGGTGGCCTATACAATGACGGGCGATAGTTGAAACTTCTGTTATACAGGATATAATGCCAAATTTAGCACTCCAGTGAGGGAGCTTTCTCCTAGAACAGTGGCTCCCACCGGTGGGTGCCAGTCGCCCACGAAAGCAAGGGCGTGGTCTCATGAGCGTCACGTCGAGAGGCGCATTGTCTTCAAAGTGTCAATGTACGCTGCTCTCCCTAATGATATAGCCACCAATGGATCTCACCAAAACTCACGTTGCAGGGCACTTTAGGAGAAGGCTCAGTATGGGGGTTGTGCCCTACTCGGACCGTAACTTGTAGGCGAAACGAGTTCCATCTCAATAACATGGGCAAGTTTCCCCTCATTATTTCGGAGAAGGTCATTTCGCCTGTGTAGCCAAATGATAGAACCATTGACCAAATCAATTTATTTAGCAGCTGAATGACGGCAAAAAGGATGTTGCGTGATTATAAACTGAGCCCCCCCCCCTCCTTCGAATTACCTCAAAAATACGATTGTCTAGGCCAAAGTAAGAGCTGTCAATAGGTTTTGATCATATCGGTTTCCCAATCGTTGACGATTGCTTTCTTCAGCTCACTGAAATCTCTAAGTGGATATTTCCTTTATAAATCTTCCTTATAATGAATTCTCATAAGTTTTCAATTAATATCAAGTCAGGGCTGTTTTCTGGCAAGGGCTGAATTTCGAATTTGTGGCAGCTAAACCGAGCCTCGGTGCTCCGGCTGACGCGAATCAGGGCATTACCCTGCATAAATACGAGGTTCTGCTGCCGATTCTGACACCAATAAGGAAGAAGAGCACAGCCCATTACGACTCGATGACCGAAAGATTCGAGCTTCTTTGGAACAAGCCATAAATGATGGCGTTAAGGAGAATAAGTTGCCGCCCATATCATGACTCCTCCTCCCCTGAAAACTTAAAAAAATGTAGCTTATACTTTCTCAGGTTGTGCCAGTAGAACCGGCTTCCATCTGAGGCATCACAGTTGAACTTTTCGCATCGAAAACATAACCTGGAGAACAGGACATCAAGAGATAGAAGAGTAAATGACAAGCCGTAAAAGAGCAGCTTTAACCAGTCGGTTTGCATGCAAATCCTGGCACCCAGTTATCGCGATTCTTTTCGGTCATAAAGAATGCCTCATTTTCCGTCAACTATAAACTCAGACTATCGCGATTTCTATCGCGTTCCAAACCGCAACCCTCGGGACATTGAGCTCCGAAGAGGACTTATTTCCGAACGTGACTTTGTCGTATTCGATGCTTCTCTTTAAACTTTTCCGAAGGTAACGAATGAAGTCTCGCACGTCTTTTGGTCCCATTCTCTGTAGGATTTCTGACGAATCAAATCGCGAAATCGTTCGATATTCAGGCCGATGCCACTCATTTGTCGATAATTTCGTCAGGAGTCCTACAGGGTATGGGAAAGGATACGCGTCAGTTTATTCAAGGGAGGAGGAGTCATGGTATGGACGGCAACACCTTTTCGTTAACACCTTCATTTATGGTTTATGTCGAATGCGCTCAGCTCTTCCGGTTATCAAGTCGTAATGCGCCGTGCTCTCCTTCCTTTTTGATGTCAGAATAGGCAGCAGAACCTCGAATTCATGCAGGGTACTGCCGTTGCCGGCCAACGGCCCTACCTCGATTTGAATGAAAAACTTGTGGGAATTCATTACAATCAAGATTTCTTATGGGGATTCATTACAATCAAGATTTAAGAGGGAAACAAGCGTTGGAGGTATCAATGAGCTAAAGAAAGATTGAAAGATTGAAAGAAAGAAAGGAGATTTGTCAACGGCTGGGACACCAAGTTGACCAGGAACTCATTGATAGCCTCTACTTTAGCCTAGACAATCGTATTTTTGAGGTATTATAATTTGAAGGAATTGGGCTCAGTTACTAATCACGCAACGTCCTTTCTTTGTCGTCATTTAGCTGCTGAATATGCTGAATAAATTGATTTGGTCAGTGGCCGTATCATCTGGCAACATAGCAAAGTGACGTTCTCCGGAAAAACGAAATTAAAATTGCCCATGTTGTCGAGATGGGACTCGCTGTTGTCTACGAGTTACAGTACAAGTAGGGCACAATTTCCATATTGAGCCTTTCCCTAAAGTGCCATGGAACGTGAATTTTGGTGAAATTCATTGACGGCTGTATCACTAGAGGAAGCAGTGTACATTAACCCTTTAACGACAATGCGCTTTTCGAAGTGATGCGCTCATGGAACCACGCCGCCCTGATTTCATACGCGGCTGGCACCCACTAGTGGGTGCAATTGTACCATGAGAAAGTTCCTTCAATGGATTAATAAATTTGGCAGTATATCCTGTTTGACAGAAGTATCGAGACATTCTTTCATTAATTATTTACATACGATTCAGACTTCAAAATGAATCCTCAAGGGCCTTGAATGAACTTGAGAGAAGAGTGCGCAGTGAGAACACAATGCCCTTGAGGATCAATTTGTGCTTTGTAACTGCCATGCTGAGAACGACCGATCAGCATTCATAAAGTCGCAAATCTGAGCTTCTACTGTCTACAAAGCTCTTGAGACGTACATGAATCTTGCGAATGCACCTAGTTTTCTTCAGTAGTACTCTATTGGCCATATACGTTCAAAATAAATAATCTAGTATTGAATCATACGAACCACAATGAATATAAATACTACAAAGTTCGTCAGTAAACATGAAATGATTGAATAAGTTTTGAACCTGTAAAGAAATAAAACTATGGTGGCACTCAACATTGAGTGCCACCATGTCCCATGCGCCGGTCATAGTGGCATCCACCGGTGGGTGCTATTGTCGTCAGAGGATTAACGAAAATATAGCACAGTTTGGAAGTTTTCGTCGATGAAGGGGTAACGTACTCAAGCATGAGAACGCTCTATTGGTACAGCCCTATGGAATGCTGACAACAGATAAAACTCAAGGAGTATAATAAGAATGGAATTCGTGAACATCAGCATTGTTTAGAGAATTTTTTTGGTGCTGCGAAAGATATGTCATGAATGTATGTCAAAGGTTTTAACTTTTGTTTTGTGTACCGTCATGACATTACCTGGGGAATCCGTGCATCTGGAGAGAGGATTATCAACTCCTCACCAGTGACCCTGTCGTGACTTTCACGACCTCGAGCAAACATGCTTCAATGTCATAGGTAAGAGGAGACCGCGTCGCGTACCACGTTCAAACCGCGCGCCGCAATTCAAATCGTGCGCTGAGTGTGGAAGCCTCTAGAAGGCAAGCCTTTTGGCGCCGACTTCGTATCAGTTTTTCAACATCCGTCGTTCCGCTTGGCAGCGCTTCGTTCCATCGTCTTCTCCACACGAGTCTGCCATGCGAGGAACACCTTCGCCTTACGCATATCGCCTGCCATGATATACACGATACACGCCAGGATTCCTCTCTACAGGTATCACTTCTAGTAGTGAATTTAATCGAGTGCGCATGTGATACAATCTTAGATATTTAGTTACTTATCATAGTTAACTCTCACTTCTCCTTAGTTTAATATTTAGTAGCCAATCAAGTGTTCCTTCTTTTACACAGGTTCTATTTCTGCCGGTATTTACGCCAACCTTGTACACATATTTGGTATTTTATGTTTACCTACATTTATACGTTTTGCTACATGAAGTATCTTAAATACTAGTGGAGTCCTACCTTGTAACTGTGCATCGCATTCTTCATGCGCTTCGCTTCTCCGTACCTGGTCTCGTGTCCACCGGAACCGCTGCAGCTTGGATGTCTCCCTACTCGCTCTTCATCTCGTAGTCGCACTCCTTCCGTCCTCGTCGACAGTCACCATCTTGGTCAAGGGTTGGAGGGCCTCAACCCGTTCCCGGGTCAAGGTATCATACCTCCGAGCATTCGCAGGCGCACTCAACCTACCCACAGGTGCAGTGTTAACCAGAAATCCCACAGTCGCGACAATGCGGGGCTCCACGCCGATGCAACCTTCTTGACCGGAGCCCAAGCAGAGTTACGGCAGACCCTGCGACGACGAAAAGACGATGAGTAGCTGATTGCAACACTTGTAAAATTTAGCAGGATCTTCAAGATCTGAGTAAGTACATATATTATATATACAGGGTGGGCCAAAATTATGACTACAGCGCGCGCTGAGGCTCATAGCAATTTTTTTCTGAGTTCATAACAGTTCGTTCGCTTTACTCCATTTCGCAAGGTAGTTTACATTATTGCCTTCCTAATGGTACTAAACTTTTGATGGATTTTGAAAATAATGTAAGCATCACTACCCGGTGAATAAATCATCGCTTCCCATTTAGAAGTACATTTGGCACGGTGCATCTACAGGGACTTAGCGTAAAAAGGCAGGAGGTATATCCGGCCACAAGATGCTTCCTAGAGGGGGGGACAGTGGCAAATAGGGAGGGTTATCCTAAGAGGCCTGCGGTTATATTTAGGGGGAATGTTAAGGAAGCAGGGCGAAGGTCCTCGTAGCAGCGAAGTTCACTTTGAGCCCAAAATGGCTAATTGAATGGATATCTGATGAAGTTTTCTGCGCGAAATCGTGAAGCATCGTCTGCACAACAAGGCTCTTATACGATCAGGCAGTGATCTCCCTAGTGAGCAGGCCAAGGAGGAGAGAAGGGTTGGCTCACAAGAGCCGTCCTGCCGTAATCGAAAAAATCGTATTACGGAATTCCTGTTCACCGACGAAAAAACATTCACGGTGAAAAAGGCGCTCAACAAGCAAGGCGACAAGATGTGCATGAAGCTGAAGGAAATGGAAGTGATACAGCGCTAGGCCCACTGACATTCTGCAACGGCCTTTGCGAGCCTCACCGCAGAGGCAAAAACACCGATTATTTTTGTGAATTAGGGAGTAAAAGTTAGTTTGGAGACGTGATCGATCTCGTCGTGCACAATAGGACACTTCAGCGATCCAAACCGGACATATTTTCATGATGAAGCTCCTGATCGCAGATCAGAATTGTCTAGAAATTTCGTGAAAGGGGTTCCCTGACTTCATAACCTTCGGTCAGTGACCACCCATGGATGACTCAGTGTGGTCAACCTTGGAAATGGACGCATGCACCAGCCCAAATAAGAATGAAATTGTCTCGAAAATGCCTTGCAAAAAGCCGGGATCAACTCGATCAACCTTAGCCGCGTGCCGCCGCCAATGCCGTCAATCGTCGTCTCTAGGGTTGGGTGAATGCAGAAAGCAACAGATCCCAGTTTCAGTGTATTATTTTGATAAGAGATTAGTGGCAAACACTTTTCTAGAATCGGTTTGCTTTATTAACTTTCTATTCGCTTTCGGGGATGTGATGTCTGTGTAATCATAATTTTGGCCCACCCTGTAATATATACAGACGTGGTAGCTACAAAAGATATCTATTTTATCGTCGAATCAGAAATGTTTATGGCTTCATCCGCCGTAACAAAAGTGAAAGCATAAGTTCAGTAACGTCTAGTCATGGCCCACTCTGAATAGAATACGTCGGTCCGCTTTGCTGTTGATCACAATCACATTGGCTCCAAAGGCACAGTTCACAATAATTTTGGGTAATCCAGACTATAATGAAAATTGGAAGGCAAGATCGAAATTAGTGCGATGAAGGTGAAGAAATTGCGTGAATCGTTGTTTCCAAAGTGAAAAAGGCTTCGAAAAGCCGTTTAAAAGGGGGTCCGGAAAAACAAAGAATGTGTCTCACTGCGTGCGTGTGGGTCCCGGTGCGAATAACAGACATGGTAAGCAAAAATTCATTCACTTATAAGCATAACTAAACAAAAACCCTAGTAACAGCAAAAGTAGCTCACCTTTTTCAGCCTCTACGAGCAGCAAAATAAATGAGGGATCGCGGCAGCAAAAAGAATAACAGAGGAAAAAAGAATGGTAGAAAACATTGCCTCATCACTCGGCGATCAGCTGATTGTGTGTGGGCCCTAGAACGAATAGTTGCAATCTGTATTGTCTCGTCTAACATCACGTTAAAGCCGTAGGGGCGTTAAAGCCAACAACGGCAGCAGCAGGGCTTCCACTATGCCCTAAGCGCCGAGATTATGGGAGCGAGAGAGTTCCTTCTACCACCCATGGGGGGCGCTGAGTATTCCTAGAGGAAGAACTCAGTAACTTTTTTGTCTTGAACCGTGCCTTTAATGAACTACGAAAAGAATACAGCTCCCGTATATGACGTTGTCGTCGCAAAATGCAATCTATAAATGATGCACTAATGACTCGAAAATCCCATACCTCCTGTCCTTCCTCTTTTTCCATTACCACCACTGTTAAGGAGGCTGAGGCCATTGGTCCTCGAGCCTTCAACAGCTTCAATCTCTTTGTTCCAGCTTCGATTGAAAGAAAAACATTCTACGATGAACAAGACAAACTCTCTGATAAGTTGAAAAGGATGCTGCCATAGTCGTCGGCTGTCTACCATAATGAATTATACCATGATGCCTACACCCTTATGAACAACGATTTTACCTTACTGATGAGAAAAACCGATCTCTTTCATAGGAATATTCCAGACAATCGCTTCCGGAGCTTTCGCTGGTATTCCTCTTTTACTCTTATGGTTACCCAACAACTGTCTAAGCTCAATTACTCCAGCAACATTTCAAGGAGCACTTTTTCTCCGACAGTTGTCTCTGGCCAACAATAACATCAAAGACATTCAGGTACAGGACACGCATAATCTAGACCAACAACTCACATAGGAGGTGAACAGATTTCATAATGCAGAAATAAATGTGTTTTGCAGCCTCTCTCTTTTAATCACCTTGCGAATCTGCACACTGTTGACCTTGCTAGCAATAAAATTCACTCTCTACCGCAGGGAGCAATTCAAGGATCAGATCATCTCACAGTCAGGCTTCAAGGTATGGATATATATATATATATATATATTTGCCCGAATATTCAGAGAATCCGATGGTCTGCTTACAAGATGGATTCCATGTTATGAACGGTAACCAGGCAATCAATCTTACCACTGAACCAAATAATATCTGTAGAACTAAGTGGAACGAGGGAAGCCACGAAGTTTGTCTGAAAGTGAGAGTTGTGAGAAGTATCTTTGACATGCTAACGATGCAGGCACCCCATAACATTGTTCTGGATGTTTGTGTTGTTTTGTAGCTTCATTTCAGGGAAGTGCAAATCCAATAGCGCCACAGTGCTGCGAACGAAATGCAATGGTCAGTGCGATAACAACATCCGCTGCCACTCCTACAACCACGTTTAACGAAGGTGATGAACTTGATGGAGAGCAGATTATAAAAGCGATTAATAGTGAAGAAGAAGGTGCATCTGATTCCTCATAACTAGCGACGTCTGGGATTCTGAGATTCGATTTGTAGAGGAAAATGAGCAAATATTGTCTCTCGAGCATCGCAGCGAAGAAGACAATACAGCAGAAACGACAAAGCTCAACTCATCATACCACACATCAAGGGCTCCAACAAAAACTGTATGTTCAGTTTGACCATTGCATTTGTTTAGTTGAAATGTTGTGGAAGATTCAGGTAAACATGGATCGTTTCTGGAGGTTATCGCATCAACCGTCAACTGAATCTTCACGATTACAACATCGGTCCGAAACAACGTTGGGATACAGATATACGGTGAAGGTTGGGACACCAGCTAATTTTGGGGTCTTTGAAGGCTATAGTTGCGGTCAAAATATAATTGTTTCCGTTGATTATTGAGGTCACAAATTCGATCAAGCTCTTCGATTCTCCATCAGTTTCCTATTTGTTTGAAAAGTGTCAAAATATAATTTTCACTCCATCAGCAGTCTTCATTAAATGCATTAAATGTAGAGGAATGAAGGCAAAAAATAATTACTGGTATTTGATAAATAAGGCCAATGACAGATTTCGAACAACCAAATTCGCCCATAATTAAGCAATATTATAGAATAATAGAGATGGGCATCAATCGATTCATATATATATATATATATATATATATATATATATATATATATATATATATGTATATATGTATATATGTATATATATACATATAATTATATACAGATATATATATATGTATATATATACATATAATTTTGACGATATAAGTTGTAACAATTTTTTCCTATGAAAGAAAAGATTCGGTCTCGGGCGCTTCAGAGAGGTATTATGAAGTCGAGTCTCAGGCCGAGTGAAAATTCCATAAAAGTAGTAGATACACATGGAGAGTTCCATATAATTCCTTTTGAAGAAATACTTTTCTTGGATGGCGTAAATAGGCTCCGGAACGGTTTTCAAACGACGAAATTTTAGGATGGGGGAGTTGAACCACACATATAGTTATCATATGATTCAGTTTTTTTGAAATAAATTTTGACGATATAAGTTTTAACAATTTTTTCCTATGAAAGAAAAGATTCGGTCTCGGGCGCTTCAGAGAGGTATTATGAAGTCGAGTCTCAGCGATATAAGTTTTAACAATTTTTTCCTATGAAAGAAAAGATTCGGTCTCGATAAAGAAAGGTTTTGACTTCTATATGATTCATATATATATATATATACATATATATATACATGGAAGTTCTACTGTCCAAACTGTGTGGTTTCTTAATACCATTTTAGTGCAGCTCCTCAAGTTCATACCCTCTCATTTCACAAACACTCACATGATTCTGGATCGCATGGGCGCTTGCACCCCAGTGGTTCCTACCCAGTGGTTCCTACTCAAGGAATCCCTTGATATGGAGGTTCTCTACACGAAAGTCAGCAATGGGTCTGCTATGGAAAGCGTAGTTGAGTTTCTTAGTACCAAAGCTATATCAGTATCTCTTCTCTTTATCCTAGTTGACAACACTCAAGGAGTGCCGAGTGCCTCAGTTGTAACATTTTAAGTGGTCGGGGAGGTATTTCGTACAGACTAGAGGCTGGTTGTGGGACAGCTAATGGTGCCTGTTTTGGCCATAACATTTGGCCAAGATTGGAAGACCTATACGTGAATAACACCGGCCTTACTTTGCTGGAGGTATACCGATGGCTGCTTCATAGTTTACACAGGTAGAAATAGATGTGTGTTTTGATTTATTGAACTTACAACCGAAGCAAATCAAGTTAACATAAGTAAAACCTACCAGAAATTGGCTTTCTATCTTGAACGTTCAATGGGATTACAGGGTGATATGACTGCTGCGATGCTGTACAAAAAGAATTGTAATAAGAATATCGTTGTCCCTCATCACTCAGCCCTTCTTTTTTACAAACGAGCGGTTGTTAGGAATATGTTCCGCATACTGAGCTGGTTTGCACCGGAAAGGATTAGCGAAAAGAGTCAATAAAGAGGCACGCGATATTGTTCAGATGGATGGCGGCTGTGATTTTTCAACTACACAAAAAGCTTCATCTGATGGCATGATCCTCAGACATAGTACCTTGATCGATGGGAAGACTCCTTTCAACTACCATTCATCGCTGATGAGATCAGTGCTACCATTAGGAAGTGTTCAAAGGGATCAGGCCTGGAAAATGCGATTGCTATTATAAACGCACCACCCTTCAATCCAGTGAAGCGCCTGGTTCGGAACATTCTATACGATGGGCTATGTACAACTTCAATCTGCGTGGTCTGTTTAGGTGGCATTGAGGGTAATTGTAACGTGTTTAGGTTGATGGTATGTATAGACTGAATGAGTCCAATGCATTAAAGAGTCATCAAATTCAAAATCACAGCGGAGGCGTTTTCGAGGTCACCGTAGAGGTCGTGGCACAGGAGTTGCAGTTAGGCGCGCGTGAAATCCTCGGGACATTTGGGCCGAGGTCACCAGTCCAACAATGAATCATGGGGAAGAACGGCTCGCAATCACGCGGGAACTGAACTGCGGCCTTATATGAGGCTGGCATTCCCACCAAGGCTGCAAGTACCATCGGTCGGTCGGTAGGTACCATCGGTTGCTGGGTGGTTCCGAAGATTCCACGAAGCTACGGTGAGTGGTTCTCCTTTCGAGCACCTGCGTGCCCTTAGAGTCTCGAACTTCAGTGGGCAATGAAGAAGTTCAATCGGATAGTTACAAATCGCTATAATCGTTTAAAGGTCTGAAGGAGGCAATTCCGCCCAATCCTCAGCTTAATAAGGCTTGTTTACCAACCTCGTGAAGAGTTCAAGAAAACATTCATCAATAGAGCAGTTATGCAGAGGTTTAAAGAAGGCCCTGGAAATTGGCACCAGACTCGTCTGAGAGGGCAAAATCACTGTATTGTGCATCGTCTGACCACCGAGAGTCAGTGTGTATAAATTCACATGCATTCAGTGCTCTACTACGATTCTGAATAGAAGGCGAAGGATCCGCATCCTTGAGACGGAATTAATCAATACCACAAGGCTTTAATTGTTGTCTCTTACAGTGGGCTATGCAGGCTGACACTTGCTATGCATGTCCAGGACAGCTCATCTATGACGGAGTCATTCACCGGATCAGAATGAATTAATTTTTACTGGATTCTAACGCTGAAACCGTTTCGAGGGCATCCGCTCAGTGGTTGGTCGTAGCCCCGTCAACCTACCTGCAGATCCCTCCCACTTTGAAGTTGACCACCCCTCTTTTGAATTCCCTCAGTCGTTTTCTACACATTCTAGAATGTTCTTGAACACAGTGATGAATTTCGACCTCAGCCCCCCCCCCCCCCCCACTTTATTGCAGGCTCGACCCACTTCAGGAACTTGATCACATTCTTTCTGCTGACCCTTAGTGCTTTTCCCCTGCATTCTATAATAGAAGAACATTTTTGGACAGAGCTGTGAATTTTTGATCTCAGCCCCGCCCACATCGGTGAGAACTCGCCTCTTTCAAGGGTTTTCCACCTAAAATGTTTTGAACAGATTAATGGATTTTGATTTTAACACGTTGACGACGAGAGCGTTTTTCGTTTGCGCGCCCACTGGACGAGACCGTTTGAAGGCGCTGTCTAATCGTCGGTTACCATTGGCGGACCTCGTTCCACGGGGCAGACACCTGTTGAATTTGCTGTATTCATGAGTAATAAGATTCTATTTGTACAAGTAAAAACTCCTGGAAACAAAAGAAAAACTTGTATTCGGGTGAACTCTCCAAAATCATGGGCTTTGTAGACCATTTCGGTGTATGAGGCTTTGAATCGTGAACATTCATAGAAAGCACTATTTAAACGTTTGGCGGGAACAAGATTAGAGGTAAGGCGCCAATTGTTGGAAGGAGTTCAAATTTTAATTGTTATCTGATATGATGTATGACTCCTTACTCGATACTTAATATTTCCATAAAAACCTTAGATGGATCATGGGTCGACGCTAAAGTTAGTGAGTAAATAACTAAATGTAAAATGTGAAGCAAAAAACCTGAGAGTTTCTTCATTTGACTGGCTCACAGTGCTGTCGGTCACCATTGACCGACATCGTCCCACGAGGCAGACTGGCTGTCGGTCAACATTGACCGACATTGTCGTTAACGTGTTAACCCTGCCGATCTTGGTGCAAACCCAGCCCAAATCAGAAGTTTGACCTCATTTGTTCTACTACCTCTGACCACTTTTTCCGCACTCTAGAACGTCACTAAACAGCTACATGAATTGTTGATCTGAGCTCTCTCCCCCCTCCATCCCCCCCCTCGCCTACTTAGGAAAGTCCATCACATTTCTTTTAATGCATCTAACCACTTTTTTCCGCATTCTACGAGGTGTGCCAATATTAGGGGCGCCAATTCCAGGCGACGTATTTGGAGCTTCTCAACCGAGAATAACAATGGAATCTATATATACGTTTGCTTTCATTATGTGCTACAACATGCTGCAGTCACATTCCAAATTTCCCCCATGAGCACGGGTAGAGGCCCGAAGCTTGTTCTCGATCTCCTCTCATGTTGCACGCAGGTATCCTCTTCCATTTTCTAAAGCCGTTCTAGAGTCCTGCTTTCTAGGGATCCGAACTGGAACTACAAACTATACAGGTCCTCTTCTAACAAATGACCATACGGAGGAGTCAAGTGAATTGAGAACTGGAAAGCAGGATGGTCATTCCTCTTTGCAAATGAAGTCGGGCAGTTAGCGTTGGCACCACTCCGGGGCTCTGTGGGCTGGAATACCATCTTGCTGAAAGGACTTAGAGCTGTTTCGAGAAGCGGGGCTGGGTCAGTGCTTCATAACGTCCATCAGAAAACCTTCTGAGCAGAGGTTTTTGTCAACTTTCTAACCGGCTTCGACGAAACCACGGTCGTCCTACACTTGCCAATGACTCCATTTTGCTGTTCTTATAGCACCTGTTTTGTGAGGAGATGCACCTTCGATGTTTACAATTGAAACGTGAACGTTTTATTTGTAGAGAAATGGTTTTTCAAAATAAAAATTCTGAGCTAGAGAAAACTATGCAGGGATGCGTATCTCAACATAAGCGAGTCAACAATCTTCTGCATTTTTTCACCCCATAATATCTGTTGAGACCGAAGATGAAGTGAGATTTCTGCTCTCGATAGGAATGACAATAAAGCTTTTGCATGGCATTCTTGTATCGCGATAACTCCGATAAACCGCGTCCGATGATTTCCTCTTGATCTGTCATCCAGGAGCATGATCGACTTGCTGATGAACCATTTCAAAAGTCCTATCTTCAGAAACACTAGCCTTTCTACCTCTTCCTGGTTTGTCTCCGATTTAATCTTCTTCTTGATATCGTTTAGTAGCCTCCTATACGGATAATGTAAAAATCACAA